GTTAAAGAAACGATTTCATTCTCTTACGCTGGAAACCAATAACACAGTATTTGTCGCAAATATTACGTATATTCAAATCTACAGTGATTATAATTTACCGAAGCATCAGTTAGATACCCTTGCTGTTTACAATATTTTTGGCCCAATAATATCTAAGGAAGTTTGGCCAGCTCAAGATACAGGGGCAAGTCCTTTACCATTGTGGTAAAAAAAAATAGCCACCATTAAAAATGGGAGAAATCGGTAAGACAAAAAATGTCTAGTGCCTTACCTGCTCGTGAGAACAAGATTAATTGTCATAAAATACTGTTAAATTGCGTTTTAAGCTAACTCAAACATGTTAAATGTTTCAAAACGGTCATTGATTATTTGCCCCCCCCCCTCAATTGCACAGCGGTATGTCTACGGAATTATACCGCTAGAAACCGAGTTTCGATACCCGTGGTGGGCATAGCACAGATAGCCCTTTGTGCTTAATAATATACACTAAACACCGTCATTGATTATTTAAATATTGTGTGTTATTGGCTAAAATAAATCCAAAAACAGCAAACATTGGCATGCAAAGGTGAAATTGTGCTGATACACACAGATATTCAATTCAGGGGCCTATAATTTGATCTGCTTGCTTTTCGTTTAACTTGCATGCCTTCTATAGTACCACCAGGAAACAGACATGTAACAACTTGTAGAATCTGGACAGTCATTAAATATTCTTCAAAGGAAGTAATAAATGATCAAATGACATTAAATTTTGTTGGCAACACGAGAACGAGGAGAAGTTATTTAGCAATATCCATGTTAATCATTATTCAACCAATCGGGTAGTTCCATCTGTTTGTGTGATTTGTATGATTAGTCAAGAATGATAAATTTATCCAAATGACGCCCTTTATTGGCCGATACGCTGATACTAGTGCGTAAAAAGTCTTTTTTTTTGTCATGTAACGGAATGGAAAAAAAAAGAGCCTGAAATAACTTTATAGTTATAAAATGTTTAACTTAGTTGCCTGTTTGATATATATATATTTGTATCTTTAAAGCCATCAACATAATGAGTATTATTGTAAAAAAATCGACACATATCAGTACCGGCACTTTTTTTTGTTGAGAATTTTACCTTTGCTGCAATAGCAATAAACTAGGAATAGTGTACTCCTACCGTTTAGGATATAGTTGCCACAACAACAAACGGGTAAATAAATACAGTTACCTAATGTCACATTGATACCAATGCCATGTAACGTTTTCGCCACAAGTCATGCAGGAAAAGTCCTAAAGTATTATTCAAAAAAATGTAAAAGTTGTTTCTAGTTAAGCATAAAGATACATCATCGGCTATCTGTGTTGTGCCCATCAAGGGTATCGAAATCCGGTTTTTAAATGGTCTTTCGTTACTGAAGATCCATCAGGCTTTTTAAGTCAACAAAATATTAAAACCAGTTATTAACCCACTTTAAAGGCCTCATAGATGGACAGGTGGTTTTACTTTCGCTCGGATGTAGTTCGTGAATTCCAGTGCAAGAAATTCCCTGGAGTGTCATAACATTTAATGGCATCGTAGAGCGAACCTTTAACCTTCCCATACGCAGCCCTATCTATGTGGTGAACACGTAAGCATAATTTCCCTTATTTATTTATGTATTGTCTGTTACTAACCGGCTTAAATGGCCATTTTCAATATCCTCCAGGCCCCATCTGTCCTTAGCACTCTTGTTATACTGGCCACTTTAAATCAGCTCGTGCCTCACCCGTTTGTTACTTAGTATTTATATCGATCCCATCATGCTCCAGTATGGTATATTTCTCGGAATTTGGTGATGAATGCTAGAAATTTTTGGATATTTCCTCCTTTTTTTTCACACACCTCGATAGTATTGCAATAATAAAGTAATTATTAACCGTACTTAAACCTTAGTTGCCGATGTGTCATGAGGAATCTTGCGGGTGGTCAGTATAACAAATGTGCAAAGGACGGGTAAGGGCCATAAGGTATAACACATCGGTGAGGTCATGGGGAGACTGAAGATGGTCAACGCAACAGGAGAAATTTTTCAAAGATCATTATAAGAAATAAAATTTATGATGATGCATTCTACATAAGTTAAAATGTGCGATGTTTATAGTTTCTGTGGCATACATTAAAATTAACTGGTTTCCAACATTAATTATTTTAGGCTAATTCTAAAACATACTATTTGGTTTATGGTGATGTTCGTAACAGACATCTGACTCAACAGGAACAAATTGTATTCCCATGTTCACTTTCTAGACGTTTCAGCCTGTCAAGCTTCATTATCACCAATGACAATCTTAATGTCGCTCACTATTTTTGATAAGTGATTTATGACTTCTGTGAAGGTTTAGAGTCTGGCCATTATTGTTCTTACAATACCAATGACATGTAAATAAATCCAAGCGTAATAACTCTGAATACCACTCTGTTTGTGTTTTGAGGAGAGGTTCAGGTAGGAAATGTCATGTCAATTTAAAAAAAGAAAGAAAAAGATGGCTGCTTAAGCTTTGGTGGTATTCTATTTCACAATTTTTTCCAACAATTCTTAATGCCTTGTTTTGTTTGTTTTTTTGTCATGAAATTATGTTTTTGAAAATCAGCCAATCACGAAGGCCTATACAGATGCAAAGCGATCTAGGTTTGAAAAAACATTTGAAACACACAACCATAAAGGTTTTTTTTTGTTTGTTTGTAATCAAGCACAAAGCTACACAATGGACTATCTGTGCTCTGCCCACCTCGGGTATCGAAACCCGGATTATAGCATGTCCGCAGACATATCGCTGTGCCACTGGGGGGGGGGGCGCCATAAAGGTAAAAAAAAAGGTGTATGAGAGAGGTATACCTGTTACTGATATCATTAATATCATTCGTTATATATTAAAGGTTTTATATGGATCTTCAAGTCTTTCCTGTAACCTATAGCTTTCGTAGTAAGTAGTACATTACTGTTTCGTTAGAAAGCCTATGTTATCAATTAAGATAAAGTAATTGAAACTCAAGCACACACACACACAAAATATTTGAAGTAAAACACACTATGGATAATCACATAATCTTCGTTCTATTAGTATGGATAATCACATAATCCTCGTTCTATTAGTATGGATAATCACATAATCCTCGTTCTATTATTATGGATAATCACATAATCCTCGTTCTATTATTATGGATAATCACATAATCCTCGTTCTATTAGTATGGATAATCACATAATCCTCGTTCTATTAATATGGATAATCACATAATTCTCGTTTTATTAGTATGGTTAATCACATAATCCTTGTTCTATTAGTATGGATAATCACATAATCCTCGTTCTATTAGTATGGATAATCACATAATCCTCGTTCTATTAGTATGGATAATCACATAATTCTCGTTCTATTAGTGTGGATAATCACACAATCCCCGTTCTATTAGTATGGATAATCATATAATCCCCGTTCTATTAGTATGGATAATCACATAATCCTCGTTTTATTAGTATGAATAATCATATAATCCTCGTTCTATTAGTATGGATAATCGCATAATCCTCGTTCTATTAGTATGGATAATAACATAATCCTCGTTCTATTAGTA